AGAAGGGAGTGGCAAGAAATATTCAAAGTGATGAAAAACATGGAACTACAACCAAGATTGCTCTACCCAGCAAAGCTATCATTTAGAACTGAAGGTCAGATAAAGAGCTTTTCAGACAAGGGAATGCTAAAAGAGTTCATCACCACCAGACCAGCACTACAGGAAATGTTGAAGGGTCTTCTTTAAGAAGAAGCTAATGAACAAAAGAATCTGACGAACTAAATAGATCCAGAGACATTGACGCATGCAACAGACGATCATATTTCAGAGGAAAGAGGGAAGAGGGGTGGAGGGTGGGAAGAGATTAACCAAAGAAGTTATATGCATATATGCATAACCCATGGACACAGTTAATAATGGGGTGAAGGCCTGGGGAGGGAGTGGGAGTGAAGTGGAAGGGGAGAAAGTGGGACACCTGTAATATTCTCAACAATAAAGATAAATTAAAAAAAAAAAAGTATATGGCTCAGAAGTGCGGAGGGGATACTGATGAACTGGTTGGCCATGACTTGATTAACGGCTGAAGCTGGTGATGATTAAATGGGGGTCACTATCCCAGCCTCTCTACTTTTGGAAATGTTGAAGCTTTCCATTAGTAAAAAGATTTAATGATATAAAAAGGAAACAGTTATTGTAGAAAAGAGGTTACACAAGAGAATGCCTTTGTTCTCAGAAGACAAAGGATGAAATTTTCAGAGATACATGACTCTTAACTTATTTTCCATAGAGAAAAAATAGAGAGCACACACAACGTGGCAACAATATTAACAGTGTGGGCACTCACTATTTTCTTTTTGACTTTTCAACAAATTTAAAATATTTCAAAATAAAAAGTTAAAGGGAAAAGGTGATTGTAGAATTTACCAGAGTCCCTGCTTAGGTAAACATAAAGGTGAATTGAATCTTAAATGGATAGTTGAAGTTCCCTTTATTTTTGCAGCCTCTCTGAAGTTTTTAGTTCCAGCCAAAATAGCCAAACAGAGTCAAATACGTAAGCAGATTTACCACTAATTCACTAATTCAAAACGAGAACTAAGAGAAAATCTTCAGAGACTGAGCTACAGCAGCTTATTGAAGGACTGAGAGAAATATACACAGAAACACTTTCCAACAACAAATCCAAGCTCATAGCCCGCTCTGACAAGACCACTGTTGCTCACCAGGGCAGTAAACGGCTCCCACGGTGGCAACATTCAGGAAACAGGGCTCAGAGAGAAACTGGCGGTGAAACGCGACTCAGGTGGATCACAAAAACCCAGATTCTCGTGGACAAAGACAGTTTCAAGGTAACATAGAAAGTAACTTAACCAAGTCAACCTAGTATATAACATTTCAAACTTTTTTTAAAAGAAGAATTTGGTTATTTATTTTACTGAAAGTTGTTTTGCCTATGGATTCATCTAAATAGGCACCTCAAGAATTTAAATTGCTTTAGTTGTATTTATAAAATAACTGACTTTCACCCCACATCAGGTTCCTATCTACCGAAGCCGATTTCCAACGGGAATGCCAAAGCACCCGGCTGGCCGCCTCTGGGCCAGTATGTTAGCCAGCAGCGACCCCACGTGGCCACAAGAGAAACAAACTTAATTCAATTTAGCCGCAGGGCCTGGAAGTAATTTCTCCCGTTTCAGTCTTCAACAACTTAACTCACGTTGTTGGATGTGGACAGGTAATCTGGTTAAACTCTCTGGAGATTATTACAAGAGAAATGTAGGATGGGTCCCAGTGAGATTAAACATATCGAAGTGCCCGTGTGCTGCATCAGAAACATGAAAGAACATCTACAGCATAAGAGGAGGGTATGAGCCCAGAGCAGTATTACTTCTTGAGCCAACGAAGCATGGAGGGAACAGAATTCCTCTCTGGGATCATCTGGGTTCTTTAACATCTACCCCCAGGTCTCTGCCATTGTCCATCTACAAACTGAAAATACAAGAACAGCAAAGATGGCTTTGACCTGAGCCTCAGGATGGGGTCTCGGGTAGGGCGCCCGCCTGCGGGCTCTGTTGGAGGGGGGCTCAGGAAAGGAACAACGGCCTGTGCCAGCGCTTCTGTCCAGGAGAAAGGTGCCCCCCCAGCTCTGGTCCCTGGTTTCCCTGGTGCCCCTGGAGCTGCTTCCCAGCGCCTGAGCTCAGGGCCAGGAGTCCAGTCCCAGCTCCACCACACTTCCTAGGGGAGCCTTTCCCAGGCTCCCTGAAACCTGCAGTTTCCAGAGCAGGCGGCTGCCCCAGGCCCTTGGAACGCTACTTCCTTTCAAGAGAGAAAAAAAGGAGCGGCCTGAACCGACCCGGCCTCAGGTCTTGCCCGACTCACTCACTCCACAGTCACTT